TGTAATACTATATATATCTCAGTTATGCGAGGTGACGTGTTTATTCTTTATTTCTTTAATTCATGTGTATGAATTCATCTGGCCCACCCAAAATAGCTGCCAAAGTGACTTAGAATAAATTTGAATTATATATATTTTTAAAAGATTAAAGATTTTCTAAAAACAGGTCTATATGCATATACTGTATAAGTTATTTAGTGTATAGGCTGTCTCTTGATGAGGGGATTCAAGGTGGCTCATAATGTTAAAACAAGTAAAATTCAAGGTGGCTCATAATGTTAAAACAACTAAAATTAAAAAACACAATAAATGTGTACAATTAAAAACCAGTTCAATGATGATAATAATTAAAAGTACATGAAGTGATTAAAAACATTTAAAACATACACACATACATCATTTGTTATTTTAATGATTTGTCTATTCATTATTGCTTTTAGAACTCGATGGTGGGTTTTTGTATAGATGTGTGCAAATCGGCGTGCTTACGACCTCTAGTACACCCCAGAGAATTCCGTACGGCTTTTTGCCTTTTTGAAAACTGATTTCTAAAGAATGGGTCTTGATTATGGTTTTTTAATCTGTTTTGGGAATCTATAGGCATCTTCATTGCCTTAGCTGCCCTGAATTTGGGGGGGAGGGGCGGGAAGCAATTAAAACATATATACAAACAGAAATGCTTGCAACAACACCATGCGCATGTATCCCGTGGAAAAACAAGTTTGGAAAAAGTGGCCACATTCCAGAAAGGGTTCCTCCCCACACAATATATTCCTCCCAGTCTTGAAAGAGAAAAGAAAAAAGGGGGGGAAAGAACAGAAAAGGTGCCTGTCACATAATCTGCCTTCAATTGGAATGTTTGAGCTGGGGTTTCTGTTTACATATAATGAAATCTAATTAGATTGTGTAGTCCTTCTTATAAACATCTGAATTACCCAGCTAAGAAGATACAGATGCACATGGATGCAGGGAGGACTGGGGGCTGGGAAGGAGAGAAGGGATTTTTCCATCAGGCAAGTGAGCCCAAACATCCTGGTGTTTTAAGACGGTGATCCCCAAAGGATGCGCTCAAAAAGGGCTGGGAGCCTGTGGCTGGGAGTTCCCATGCCTCCAGGATGCCCAAAATGGACCACTGGCATGATTCGCTCTCAGGGGCGGAGGGGAAGCTGACGTAGACAACACCGGCCTGTTTCTCCTTCTAACCCTGGTGGAAATTCTATAAGATAATTCCATCTTCAGTAAGATTGGTGGTACAGTATTCCTCCGTGTACCAGTTGCTGGAAGAAGCAAGAGGGTAGGGGCTACCATGCTCAGATCACAAGGAACACAAGGATGAGAGAGGGCTTAACTGGACAGCCCACTCTCTTATAATAAGCCACCTTCTCACATTCTTTAGGGTGCTGATTATTCATTTTGTTATTTAGTTAAGTCGTGTCCGACTCTTTGTGACTCCATGGACCAGAGCACGTCAGGTCCTCCTGTCATCCACTGCCTCCCGAAGTTGGGTCAAAGTCATGTTGGTCGCTTCGGTGACCCTGTCCAACCATCTCGTCCTCTGTCATCTCCTTCTCCTCTTGCCTTCACACTTTCCCAACATCAAGGTCTTTTCCAGGGAGTCTTCTCTTCTCATGAGAGGGCCAAAGTATTGGAGCCTCAGCTTCAGGATCTGTCCTTCCAGTGAGCACTCAGGGTTGATTTCCTGCAAAATTTATAGGTTTGTTCTCCTTGCAGTCCAGGGGACTCTCAAGAGTCTCCTCCAGCACCACAACTCAAAAGCGTCAATTCTTTGGCAGTCAGCCTTCTTTATGGTCCAGCTCTCACTTCCGTACATCACTACAGGAAAAACCATAGCTTTGACTATTCGAACTTTTGTTGGCAAGGTGAGGTCTCTGCTTTTTAAGATGCTGTCTAGGTTTGTCATCACTTTCCTCCCAAGAAGCAGGTGTCTTTTAATTTTGTGGCTGCTGTCACCGTCTGCAGTGATCATGGAGCCCAGGAAAGTAAAATCTGTCACTGCCACCATATCTTCCCCTTCTATTTGCCAGGAGGTGATCAGACCAGTAAATTTGGAAAACTCTTGTCTTCAGATTGAACCAGAAGACTTGGGTATGTTCTGTGTACTCACACCTTTCAGTACTTTCTTTTACATTTTACTCCTACATTTGAAATCACTTTATAAGATGGATGAGAAATGCAGTATAAGAAGTTTCTGTAACTCTCCGTCTTTCTTTCTTTAAGTATAGTATTGTCAGCCCTGCAGTTCTAAGATTATTCTAAGATCATTGTTTGGGTCTGCTGATTAAATCAGCCTTTGAAATCAATCAGTGCCAGCCAGCTTTTAGAAAGGTAACATGAAAGATTTCCGGTTAAAATATTAACTGCTTATTTTCTCTTGGTAATCATTAACCACTCCCTGGAATGACCTTGAGGGTAATTTTACTGTGCATGTTTCTCATCAAACAGAAAATATGGATTTCTAAGCCTTTTGGTATAGGTGACGGAGGTAATCTGAAAATAAAACAGAAAAAATATGAGCACCCTAAATCCTTGTTTGGGATATAACCATTTTATTTTATGCCCCATGATTACTTACGTACAGACAAATGTGGCATGCACAGTTTTGGGAGTGGGGTACAGTTCTAATTAGAAAAGCATATTTTAATTAGCAAACTAAGGACCAGTTATACTTTTCTTGTCTGTTTGCTCCAGATTTAGTCTCTCAAGTATAAATCAAAAATTAAATATCACCTTAACTTATCATATGATTATTCAGCAGGAAGTTATTTATTCTCTTATCTGACTTATCTGATTTTACCACTACAAATATAATCTTTATGTTATGTGCTCTTAAAGTGGAACAAACTTAGAGCAACTTAATAGAGTTTTTCAAGGTGAGATATTTAATGAGTGGTTTTACCAATTTCACACTCGCCAGTGAGTGGGGATTTGAACCCAGGCCTCTTGAGTCCTAGTCCATCACTCTATCCACCAAACCACACTGGGTATCCATCATCTCCACTGTGAGGCTCAAAAAGGTGTCAAAAATCTTATTTAAACAACAGATCTAGCAGTCTTCATGTCCTGAGGGAGCAGGGCTTTTGTGAAGCTAATGGCTCTTAACTGCTCAATCAAGACCAAGGTTCATTTCCTCCATATGGTTTGCATAACTAACCAGGGTGGATCCTAAGAACACATTGGGAAAATCAATGTCCTCACAACCGCTTTGAGAATGGCAGCTACATTGGGAAGGAAAGGCGGAGGAAGATGGAGGGTGACAGACAGGGACTTTCTGGAAGCCCATTGGTTCACGGGGCTGATGCTCACAAAGAGTGTTCTGGAAAACTCTTGTCACTGAAATCAGCAGGGCGTCTGAACAATGCATCCAGAGCAGCTCCCGAATGTTATCATTTTCTGTATAAATAAAAAAATTTTAAAAGAGGAAAGCGCCTCTGAACCCCGAAAGGGCCTGCTCCTGATGAGAGGGTGCGCAGGATCGCTCTGCGCGAGTTTTGCTTTTCCTGAGCTAAGCAGATGATTCAACATCCAACCGTCTGCCTGCTTTTTGATGCTGGTTTTGATAGAACCTGTTAAAAGAGAGAGCCATTGGCTAAGATTAAGCAAAAAAAAAAAAGATCCCTACTAGATCACCTTTATAATATCTACAGCTAGATCTTTCTGGGGTCTACAGATACATGGATCTTTCCTCACTTACATTTAAGGAAGTCCTGCCGGGCGAATATCCATCTTGCCCTCCACTTTTGGACTTCACCGGGATACAAAGCCTGACGAAGTGGCCTTGATCCACGAAAGCTCGGGTATTCTATGATGGCTTTTTTTTAGTGGCCTATAAAGATATCACCGGCTGTTACATTTGTACTTTCCGGGTAGAAAGGCAGAGTGGAAATTCAATCCAATCCATGAATGAGTCGGTCACGGGTGACACACCCACTCTCCTAAAAAAATCCGGCTTCTACTCACACCTGGGAAGCCCCCCCCCCCCGTTACAGGTGCCGCGCCGCCCCCCACCGT